TCCGCTAAATTGGCGAAAGCCTCAAATCTTTGCCGGGGTTCTTGAAATGAAAGTTTTTCTAATGCTCAGGATGGAATTTGAACTGAAACACCTCAGATTCTACACTGTGTTGATGAATGATGATTAATTTGGCGAAAGTTTTGTCACAAAGAAATTACAAAGTTGCGTGGATGCTAGTAAGAGGTCGATCGGTCGGTGATAGTAAGGTGGAGAGGTCAACAGGTATATGCTCATGTCTTTACTGTAATGTAGTTAAAAAGTTCTTTAACATGGAAATCGAAGATATTTAATGAATATAACAAATATCCAAGAATAATTTAAGGAGTGCAAATCCGGGGAAAGTTTAGAAGTAGTCAGTATTAAACTATAATTTTAAAACTTTTTGATATTGGTAACAATAATTTTGGGACACGAGAAGAGTTCGTCTGTGACGATTGGTAATCGTGTAACAAACATCCGAAATTACGTCCGTACCGATTTAAAGCCGTGCACCAGCTGGGCACGACTAAAAGAATGCAATACAGCAGTTGGTATCATCGTCCTGTGCGTGAATGGGTTCATATGCAGTAGTTGGAGGTTGCGTTTAAAGTGGAACACACTGTATATGAATGAACCAGAATACTCTTTTTAGCTACATCGACAGCATCTGAGGAATGCATTTTACATTATTTATAACGTCAAACCTGTTCTCCTTGTAAAATTGAACTGTGTTCCTACCGAATTTAATGAATGCGTTTGCCTTTTTCTTCTGAATCGCACTGTTATAAAGGGGCACGGCAAGCTTCAATTAACGTGGTCTTGTGTATCTTGTTCCGGAAGGAAACATTTTAATGACTTACAATACAATGCACTACTAAATGAGTCGCCTAAGTACAAGGATGCTCTGAACTTTGTAGCCCTGAAGCTTATGGACATTACTTTGACCAGTGTGGGCTGAATTCAACTGGCAGATTTCCGATTACGCTGATTAACTTTCGGATTCATTAAAAAGGCAGGGAATTTCTACACCATCTGGCAATTACCAACTTCTCAAGACGGTGTTACAGAAATTACGTTTTAAGTTCGTGTTAAACTTTAATCTGATCTATCACTTAACTTAGACTTCGAAGAAATCAGTTTATATATATACATATATATATATATATATATATACGCCATATAGGCGCTTGGGGGAGAGGTGGTATAGCTCCTACTAATTCTTGACCTCGGCAGTCACTGAGCTACCGGTCTCAAGCTCAGTCAGTATTGTGACTAGCTATGGGCTGGACGACTGGTGTTCGATCTCCGACGGGGACAGAGGATTTTTCTTATAGCCTCTGAGTCCAGACTGGCTCTCCAGCCTCCTATCTAATGGGTACTGGGTTCCTTTCTCGGGGGTAAAGCTCGGCCGGGGCGTGACGCTGACCACTCACCCCCATCTAGTGCCGAGGTTAAGAATGAGTAGGAGCTACACCTCCACTACCCCCAAGCGCCTATAAGGCGTATAGTGGGACTGGTTTACTTTACTTATATATCGTTGACAATGCTATAATCGTGATTACGGAATTCCAATAAAGAAGTTTATCTCGGTGGTGAAAATGAAGATTGCTGCCACAAGACAGTCAGTTCCCCAACATGAATATGTTACATTTGTTTGTATGGAATGGTTATAAGTAGGTCTTGGAAGTTGTTTGTCATAATGATAAACGAGGCAGTCTGCATGCAGAGTTATTTTCACAATATTCTGCAGCCTTGAATTGTTTTGCACGTGGCAAAATGTCTTTTAAAAATTAGATTGCAGCTTTGGTGCGATTAATGGCATAAACACACATTAAGGATTATATTTGCGTGTTAGTATAATTGTGCTTATTTCCTAACTTTATGGCCCGGAGTTCTTGTCATAAGCCGATTAAGAAAGTGTCCACTTTTTATGAGATGCGAAGATTCATTTCCGTGTTCACAAGAGCCCGCCATCGGACTATGTCCCCAGCCCAAAATAATTTCAACCTCCCACTATAATAAATCAACCAACACATATCATTACAGATGGTTTGCTTTCTTTATAAAGGTTGTAGAATTTATTAAATTGTTTTGTTGCAGGAGACATTTTGAAATAAGTTTGTTGCTTGTTCAGGCGTTGAAATCTCCTATACAATTACACAGTTTGTCCAAAGGACTACAGAAAGTGATAACTTCGAGAGAAAATTAACCGCAGAACTAATCAATTACCAGTAAATCTGTTTTGAAAAGATCTTGTGCCCAAATCCGATTCAAAATCGGGTGCGGTTTTTAATTATCAAAATCAAATAGTGCAGGTAGAATATAGGTTTATCAAAGTGACTAATTAAACATTTTATCTCATTTTTCCCTTCGAGTGGAACCCATTTACAGTACTACCGGTCCTGCATTGTCTACAAATAGTTGTCTGACGTGTGATAAAAAAGACTCGAAATGCGCCTAGGCGATTGGATCCATAATTAAGATTATTAATAAACGCGTTCTCCTTGGACAACAGGGATGAACAGGCCCCACGCCGTATGTTGTCTGAAGAATGAATAATGGCCCTGTGAGCGCCCAAAGTTCCACTGAGACTTCGTCTCACCAAATTTCGACACTAAAAAATACAAAAGCTGTCTTGTCTGCGTAGTTGTAACTATTGTGTGGTAACTTTTGGTTAATGAAAACATCTGTAGGAGACTTGCCAGAAAAGAACTTCATATGAGCACACGGTAAGTACTGTATGTGAAGTGTTTAATGATATTCACGGACTTTGACACACCCTGTATCACTCCCCTACAAAACTCTTTCTGGCAGGCAATGGAGAGTGCAATGAGATGCATTAATGGAGCCGGTTGACGAATACAGATAGCCTTATTTGGTAGAGACTATTGTGGGAATTATCCTCAATGTCGCCCGGTTCTTTTCCTGTCTCTTGCAATTATTACAGTAATGCAAAAAGTGTAAAAACTTCCTTGTACTTGCCAAATAACGCTAACTGAAACATGAGCTGTCCTGACGACACTCATTATGCTCTGCGCATCGTAAGTGGCCTTCGGTATGTTGAGGTGTGTTCCGGTTATACCAACTAGAGAAACTAATCGGTATTTCCATTTATTAGTTTTCATTTATTTTGTTGTAACCCCCCAACTTTACATGGTTTCGAGTTAATGGTTCGGACTCTAGATACCGACATTACGTACCGACGTTCTTGAAAATAGCTGTTAGCAAGGGAACATTTAGTTAAATGTCAAGGATTCTGTACCGCATTTACTGAGACTTCGAGATTTTGACAGCAGTTTATTTGCGATAATTACATTACGCTCATGAGGTTTCTGTGGCTGTGGGAGATTATGGTCTTTGGGGTATTTGAATCGTACTCCATCTAGAAGGAAATGTGAATAATACTCAGAAAATCTTACTGCTCTGTACAAGTGAGGAATTTATCAGATTTTGAGACGTTGTGGGTACCTTACTCAAATGTCAACTGGTATCATATACATATTGATTCTATCCTTATAGAATGGGACAATTAAGACGGCTGATTCATTATATGGACATGAATCTTACACTAATGGGTGTTACGGTATATCACAGAGAAACGTGCTGACTCTGAAGTAAATACACACGAAGTGCCCATCGGGAAGCGTTGAGTGTGTTTATCATATTTGAATGGCAGTATCAGTTTCATATAAGAAATATTTATATTAAAAGTAACATTTTTTCCCCACATATTTCACAAGTAACAGAATTTAATACTGGATATTTAACGTAAAGATTAGGCTAGCATGCAATGTCCCAAAAGTGAAAACTTGGGCATGGAACATAGTAAGTGTACCGATCGCTCAACGCCCATAGGACATGTTAAGCAAATACGTGAAGTTTCCATATGTAGTACCAATTTTCTTTTATAAATGATAATACACCTGCAATTCACACACCTGAAAGTCACATGTGCACAAGTTATAATTAGTGAGGATATATCAGGCATCTGTGTTGCCGCCTTGATATGCTGCAGCGTTGCAGGAGACACCTGTGAGACCTCTATTTACGTGGACCATGATAAAGGCCTTTGTGAAGTTTTCCAACATTCTTGGTCTCCTTACTGTTACAGAAATCAGTAGTGCTCATTTTCATGGAGGCTAACTAATTACCTCTTATAGTAGCCAAGGTAACTGAATCAGTGTAGTGGCTAGCTAGAAGCTTCTGGGTTCCACCCAGCCTTCTAACCAACGGGTACCAAGGGTATTCTTTTTCCGGGAATAAAACGGGCGGACAATGAAGTTGACCACTGGCCTTCATTTAATGCCGAAATCAATAAATAACGAAGCTGTATCTCCACTCAACATGTCTTCATGGCGAGGTACGTACAGGACAACAGTCTGAACCACATAACCTCCCTTTGTTAACATCGATTGACAATGGTCCTCTGGTAGCATATTCAGCATAACTTGCCGATCGGTCAGTTTAGATTTATTTTATTTAGTGTTCTGTCTGACGACAGGTCCATATGAACAGGATCCTTCCATCCTTTTCTCGGACTGGGACCTGTTCATATACGTTCTTGGCAGATGATCCAGAAGTGGTTTGCCATTGCCTTCGTCTGTGTGTGAATGGAGTAATTGTTGGGATGCCAATGAGGAAAACTCCGTGTTGCCTAGGCCACGGCCTTGCCCAACACAAGTTAAAAATTCGGGCCCCGCCGGAGTGCGATTTTAAAGTTAAGAATTTATAATGTGTTCTAATTCGTCCTTTGAAATGCTGTTTTTACATAGAACGATATATTGGAAGCAGGGAGCTGGTATGCTTCACAGAACAATGATGACAAATGAGCTAAACGTTCAGTGGTAGATACCTAAATGATATCTTTCCTGGTTCATGTCTAAGTGGTATATGGCGATGGAATGTTGACCCTTGGACTTTCAGTTTTATATCAAAAAGCCGTATTTTAATTATTTTTGGATTTTTAAACGACGGGACGGAAGAGTAGATTTAGTTATTTCTGAATGCATCCAGGATCTTACCTGTGCTGTTTGCTGGTTTCTCTACGATGAGCGACAGGGGCTGACATGATATATCCGAAGGTGAGAGAGGCGATCCTGGAGGTGTGAGTGATGCCCCGCCATCCTCACCTGCACCCCCACTGCCCCCTGAAGATCCTTCCAATCTCTTCTGGCTGTCTATCAGACGCTGCTGCTGCAAATGCAGCCTGTTCTTGATAAGGAAAATTTTAGGCATGTTGCTGGTTTAGTCGTTCACTTGTCGTCGATAAGTCACCATCTGCTCCTTGTCGATTTCTTTCACTTCCTTTCGGCATGAATCAGGCATTTAAAATGCCTACTGCCTGTTCTTCCCAAAAAAAGGAATTGACATTCAGTGTTAAGAACGAACACTAAGAGTTACCCCGTTGTTGTTCCACTAGTAACTTCCAGAAATCACTTGGGCACAAAAGTTAAGAATGTCATGTAATTCGTGATAGTATCAAACCACTTTCAACATCGCCACCTTCACTTGAAATGTAATATTTCACCACTTCAAATAACAACAGTAAGTTCTGTAATATTTAAAAACACAGATCTAATTTCCTCTAAGGGCAACGATGTCGTCAAGCCTTCGGGACAGAAAACCATTCCACATTAAAAACTTCATATTCTTTATGAGCATTTCCAAAAGAGGAGAAAAACACCACTAAAACTACATAAATGTGAGTTAAAAGTTATAATAATCCGTATTTTTTTAAATGAAAATGTACAATATCCTTGTTTTCGCTCGGTCACTTTTTCTTCCGGTCTTCCTCTGCTGGAGTGAGTAACTGTTAAACCTTCCGGTGCTGATAGCGGTACCTGGAAGCTCCTGTACGACCAACACCGTTGGGTCTCTCTCACCGACTGAGTAAAGGACGAACCGTTGTTCAGCGGTTTGGTTGGCGATGGTGGTGGTGGAAGTTGGCCTTCTTCTCTCAGTTACTGGCCTGTATATAGACACAGTGCTACTGAGAGTGAGAGACGGACAGGCGGAACGGTGATAGTCATTGCCAAGATCACGGATTGCCTCAGGCATCAGCGAACTTCGCCATCGTTGTCAACAAAACGTTTTACCATCTAGACCGCGATATCCGCGCATGCGCGTGGCTTTGCATTTGGTGGAATGACGTCTTTACTATGTTTTATTAAGTTGTGATATGTTTCGACTTTATTTATATTACGTCGAATGACTTGATAATTTGTTATTGATGATCTGGAAGGGTTGCAGATGAAAGCGGTCGTGGCTTGATTTAATGGAATGTCGAGGATATATGCCTTTAGAGACTGAATGAAACCACGAACAACTTCGATAAGGGTATCTGGTCTCCGTGCCGACTACGAAAAGCATATAATTTTGTAATTGTGGGCAATGGTGTTGCAAGTTGAGCCGATATTTTATGTTCCCCAGCTGCAAGTTTTGTGGGGAATATTATTCATCGTGGAATTATATAATTTATATATTTATTGTCAAGTGACAGAGACTAGATCTATCTAAGGGACCCAATAGAGTAGGTACCTCTCACCTGAAGACGGAGACAGAACCAGCCTCCGAAACGTCGTGGGTTTTAAAGAATAGACGATGGAAAAAATCTTGACATTGAATAATTTTAAGTGTAATCTACCCTTTAGAATTGAATGATATAATTTATATCGTATAAATATTGTAATTGTGATAAAATAAAAGTGAGGTGGTCTTGACCGGACATGTAGCGCACACACGAGTAAATTCTTACTTTTTTTTCGAAATATTTGTTATTTTCCACGTTATATTTGCATGTACAACAGTCTGATGTGCGGTGTGTAAAAGGAAGTTCGGATCAACTCATTTATCCTTATTTTATTATTTAGTGTTCTGTCTGACGACAGGTCCATATGAACAGGATCCTTCCATCCTTTTCTCGGACTGGGACCTGTTCATATACGTTCTTGGCAGATGATCCAGAAGTGGTTTGACATTGC